TCTACCAATTTCCTTTTTTTTTTTTGCTTATCAGTCTTCAAGAGCTGCCGCTGCTCTTTCTTGCTGTTTGCTCTTACATGCTATTTACACTTTACTGACATGCTTCAGAGTTTTATTCCCCCTCCCATTCTTCAAAGAACTACTGGGGATTTCTGTATCACTACCCTCCCCCTTTACCCCGCAGTGGTGGTGGAAAGTGCCATCAAGTCACAGCTGACTTATACTGACCCCTTAGGGGTTTCAAGGCAGGTGACAATTAGAGGTGGTTTGCCATTGCCTGATTTTGCGTAGCAGTCCTGGAATTCTTTGGTGGTCTCCCATCCAAGTACTAACCAGGGCCGACCCTGCTTAGCTTCTGAGATCTGACAAGTTCAGGCAAGCATGGGCCACCTAGGCCAGGGCTATCCTCATGCCTTTGAGACCGCCTCTCCCCATATGAGCCCTGTAGAGCACTGAGGTCCACCAATCAACATTTTTGGTGGTCTCCGGCCCCAGGGACGTCCGACTTGCCTTGACCAGGGCCAGGGCTTTTTCAGCCCTGGCCCCTGCCTGGTGGAATGAGCTCCTGAGTGAGATCAGGGCCCTGCGGGATTTATTACAATTCCGCAGGGCCTGCAAGATGGAGCTCTTCCACCGAGCTTTCGATTGAGGCAACGGACGGTCCCATTTACAGCTTGGGTTGGCCCCTATTCTATAGCCTGTGTCTGAGATCCTAAACTGTACAGATTTCTGAGAAATTTATTCCCAGTACTATCACCACTGAGGCAATTGGCTTTTTATAAGAGTTGTATGTTTTATATGTTTTAACATGGTTTTAATTGTATTGTATTGATTTTGTTGTACTATATTTATATTGTTGGAAACCACCCTGAGCCCGTTAATGGAAGAGTGGGATACAAATCCCCCCCCCAAAATTAAAAAAATATAATGAATGGGCCAAGACCACTCAGGCAGAGAGGGAATCTGAATGCAGGTATCTCCAGTCCAAGATTCTCCACCACTGCACAGGCTGCGTAGCGACTTCTGTGTCACTGAGGCCACCATTGACTTTTTCACAGTCAAAGGGGATTTCCTGTAGGACTGCCAACTCCAGGTTGGGAATTTCCTAGTGATTTGGGAGTGGAGCTTGGAAAGGGACCTCAGCTGGGTATAATGCCCTCGGTTCCACCCTTCCAAAGGAGCCATTTGCTCCAGGGAAACTGATCTCTGGAGTCCACCCTAATTTCCCTCCTGTCTTTTTCACTGACAGAAAAGCCAGTTGGATCCCATCCAGCCTTCTTTTTTTTTTTAAGGAAAACACAATAGAGTCTGTTTTTACTGTTCTCACAACACAATAATGTGACCGAGAAGCATTTTCCCTATACAGGCTTTGTTAATTACATATTTCGAGATCATTATTCTCAAGGGGAATGAAAAATGCATGGTAACCCAGAAATGAAGGTACTTATAATGATAAGTGCATCCTTTCCATTCTTTCTTTGTTTCTTTTTAACATTTGGCCTTCAGTGCATGATTGCGCTGTGGAGTCTTGGAAAGACAGTAGGGTCACAGCAAGGAACAGACAAACCAAGAAAGATAGAAGTATTTTCTTGAGGGTTTAAAAGGTCTCACAGGATGTAATTTGTGGCTTTAACATCTCCAGAATTAGCTTCTCTGGGTGTGAGGGATCTAATCATAGACCTTAGGTTGCACCGACCCCTCACCAATGCAGTAATGAAGCAAACAGAAGTTTGACTTGGTGCAGAGTCCACCAGAAAAACCTCCACTATGCTAAAATCACAAGAGTAAACTGGATGGTGTTCATCATCCTAGCAACAGATATCCCTGCTATAGACTTCAGCTGTCCCTGTTTGCTAGTACCTCTCTTTGATAAAAATAACTGTCTCTAATTTGTCACATTTCCTTTTGTCTTTTGTTCATACCTTATTAATAGTTTGGTAATGTGGACTGCACCCTCACCTGGATGGCCCAGGCAAGCCTGATCTTATCAGATTTTGGAAACTAAGTAGGCTAAGCCCTGCTTTGTACTTGAATGGGAGACCACCAAGAAAGTCCATTGTTATGTATTTACAGGCAATGACAGACCACCTCTGTTCATCTCTTGCCTTTAAAACTCTGCTACTTGATGGCACTTTCAACCATTAATGTGGGCTGCAAGAGTTGTCATTTTTTATGGCTCAGTTCCCTTCTTCAAGTGTCTTGGAGTTTGGTCATTGATCGGTGATGATGGATTCATCTTGCTCTAGAGCATATGTATGTAAATTTATGCACTTAACACTAAGGCACCATGCAGCACAACCATCCAGGTTAATGTAGGCACACATACAGAAAAGTACCATTTAACCCTTGCACGTAGATGTACATGCTGAACAGTTGATAGGTGGCATATTGGAGGGCATTATATTGTCCTGCAAGAACCTTGAACAGCATTTATAAGGCTATGGACTGTACAATAAGTGTGCCAGGGAACTGGACGGTGTGGTAGCCCAAAGATGGTGCTAACCTCCTGGACTGTAGGCATGTGCCCAGCCGAGGGAAGCCTTGCCCAGAAGCAGTGTGCCAAACCAGACGTGGACCCATGGTATACCCGATGCCTCCCACTCCTGCTTCCCTGCAAGAGGCCAACCAACGTCCCTGACACCACAAGTACGCAGAAACCGGCAGCAGTTCATTAAGAAGAAGTCATACTCTGCACAGGAAGCCTGAGTGTTCCTGTAAAGACTCCATAGAAAGACTTCTTCTAGTGTTCCTGCAAAGACTCCATAGAAAGACCTCTTCGGCATCATGCAGGCACCTTCTCCCCCCCTACAAACACACCTTTGCCAGATGCTGCACGTATTCCTCATTGTCAAACAATAGTACTTGCACCATGAGAGGATTAAGTAGCTGTCACATCCATCCACTGCCCATCCTGATAACGCAGCTGTTGATGTTGGGACATTAAGACTAACGACCGTTCATGGAGCCAAGACATTACTACTCTTTTCTTTCCTTTGTCTTTCTAAAGGTGTCACCATTAGTCGAATATTATTGCCATTGCCCTACTATTAAACCCATTCTCCTGACCATTTAGTAAATGGATTTTTCTAGGTTTCCTGGGGCCTACGTGACTGGTGGAGCATCCCCCTCCCAGTCATTCTAGGGTATAAAAACAGAGCATCTCTCTATTGCTCCCTCTCTTACTTCCTACCTACCTGACCCCACCCTATCTTGCTGATTCCATTCGTAGCGCTGTTTGGAGTCTCCCACATGCATTGCTGGCCAACACATGACCCCTTCCCTAGTATTTTCCCTATTTTTGCTGCAGGATCACCTCATCGCATCGGACAGGTAAAGTATCGCCCCCATCAACGATATCTTCCTGCTAATGCAACTGTCGCTGTACCTTTCTATCTGAGATTCTTAGCTCTGTATCGATTGAGTGTGTGTTTGTTTCATTTTTACTGTATGTGTGTGAAAATTATTAGTAAAGAAATCAATATATTTTAATATCTAGTCTCTGAGTATATTTCTGGGGATCTGGATAAGTTGGACCTCAGTATACACAGGTTACGTTCCCTTGATCAAAGCCATTGCCATTTAATATTTAAATTCCCCCATCTTATTAATAAATTAAGGCAATTTGGCTAACAATTACGTGTTTATTATATTCCCTAAGCAAAACAATACATGCCCTCTAGTTAGTCAGGACAGGCAATGACAGAGTACATGAAGTCATCAGATATAGTGGATATTCGGCACAAAATCATATTATGGATGTGTACTTTGCATATTTTTCTTAAATTTTTATCTTTCTTCATTTATATCCTGCCTTTCTTTCTAAGGAGGACCCAGTGCAGGTTATATTGCTCTCCTTTCCTTCATTTTATCTTCACAACAAGCCTGTGAGGTAGGTTAAACTGGACCAAGGTCATCCTGCAAGCTTCCATTGACAGACTGGGGGTTTGAATCTAGAAGTCCTTGATCCTAGTCTAACGATTTAACCACTACACCATACCAGTTATCTGTCCAGCTTTGGTGTGAGAATAGGGGCATTCTACAAGTGATCATCTGTTTGAGGCTATGGTAGGTTTGGAGAGAGGTCCTGAGGTCCCTACAGACTGACAGAGCTGGTTATTCATTCAACCCATTTTTCTGACATCCAGATCAGTAAACACAAATACTTTAAAGATCTGAACACATGAAGCTGCCTTCTATTGAGTCATGTTCTCGATCTATCAAGATCAGTATTGTCTACTCAGACTGGCAGCAGCTCTTGAGGTTTTCAGGCTGATGTCTTCACATCAGCTCCTGCCTGCTCCTTTTAACTGGAGATGTCAGAGATTGAACCTGGGACCTTCTGCATGCCAAGCAGATGCTCTACCACTGAGCCATGACATCTCCCCAATAGATCTGCTCATCATCTTAAGTCTCAAAAACAGCTGATCTTGTCCATGGTCACTTTTTGGTACGGACAAATGTCTGTGGCAAAATCCATGTTTGTTTTTTGTTGCAGCCAATGTACTATGAAATGGGCTGCCTGAAAAAGTTATTTGAGCTACTTCTTTGGGTGTGTTTTATAAATTGTGCACAAGACTTTTTGAAAGAGCATTTATATTCTGACCATTAGAGAGCCGGTCTGGGACAGTGGTTAAAGTGTGAGACTAGGATTTGAAGGACACAGGTGCAAATGCCATGAAGTTCATCGTACAGCCTAACCTACCACCCATATGTGTGTGTGTGTGTGCATGCATGTATTATTTATTTATTATTATTATTTATTTATTACATTCAATTTATAGACCGCTCACCCCCTAAGGGCTCTGAGCAGTTTACATTTGTACAACTTACTAATTACCTTACCTTTACTAGGGCCACACACAATGAAAGGGAAGTGACAACCTATCAGGCACCCATGGCAGGGACTTAGTTGTTTTTTCTTTGTGGAGGTTCTTCAATCCGGGCGACGACGTCTTTTGGCGCAGATCTTCTTTTTCCGGTCGCAGCGACTCCTTCTGAGCATGGGCCAACAGCGCCTGATGGCGCACGCTCTGCAGCCGGCCTCTGTCCCAATTGGCTCCGGTCTACCGCGTTGCCCCGCCGCCGTGCTTCGTGGCATGTAAGTGTGTGTGTGTGCACCTGGAAGTCATGGCGACCTCTGGTGACTGACCGTTTTTCTCAGTTTCTTGAGGGTGGGGAGTTGGGGCAGATGGTTGGGTTGTCAAATGGCAACTGGACTGAGGGGTGACATGATTGAGGTTTATAAGATTATGCATGGGAAAGAGCAGGTAGAGAAAGAGGTACTTTTCTCCCTTTCTCACAATACAAGAACCCGTGGGCACTCCATGAAATTGCTGAGCGGTCGGGTTAGAACGGATAAAAGGAAGTACTTCTTCACCCAAAGAGTGATTAACACTTGGAATTCACTGCCACAGGAAGTGGTGGTGGCTACAAGCATAGACGGCTTCAAAAGGGAATTAGATAAGCATATGGAGCAGAGGTCCATCAGTGGCTATTAGCCACAAGGTATAGCTAGGGACTCTGGGGCAAGTGATGCTCTGTCATCTTGGTGCTTGGGGGGGGGTCAACAGTGGGAGGGCTTCTAATGTCCTGGCCCCACTGGTGGACCTCCTGATGGCACGGGTATTTCTGGCCACTGTGGGATACAGAGTGTTGGACTGGATGGGCCTTTGGCCTGATCCAACATTGGCATCTCTTATGTTCTTATGTTCTTAAGCCTAAATTTCATGGTGGTGAGATTGCATCTATAGAAAGATAAGACATGAAGAGAAGGATGAGAAACCTCCATTTGGCGAGAGGAAAGAAAACTTCATGGGAGGAGCACTGAGCAGAGATGGGTCCAGGGAAGGGCAGGATCAGGTGAGGCTTGCCCCTGATTTGCCCATGAGCTGCAGAGCTGCCGGGCACCTGCACTGAAAACACCCCTTCAGAGCCACTGCGAAGGCATTTTTGTCGTGCCAGTAATGTGCCTCTTCATCATGAGCTTTGGCTGCTTCTCTCCCTTAGGCATTTGCTCTCTTATTATTCCCGGCGTATTTTTTTTGTACCCTCATTAGGCTTAAGAGGCCCCCATCAGATAAAATACTATTTCCAAATCAGCCTGATTGAAGCAATCAAGCCGCTTGCAGAAGGCGTTTTTAAAAAATCCTTCATTAGCCTCAAGGATCCCTTTCTAATGACGGCAGCAGCCAAGAGAACTGCACTGACCAATTGGAAGGAGAGTAGCAACCCTAGAGAGCCACAGGGATGGGCACAAAAGGGCACCGTGGCTGCTGCCCAGACAGGGAAGGCAGGCTGAATGCGGAAGCCAAAACCAGTTTCTTTGAGCAGAATGCCTACTCTTGCGTAAGTGTAGTCTGATTCTCTGGGACTAGGGGAAGTGGATTTCTTCCATACTGTTTCTTTCTCATTCCATGTATTCAGGGGTCGTTTCATAGAAAAAGAGCTAGGGGAACTCATTAGCATAACTCATTAGCATATGCCACACCCCCTGACATCACCGGAAGTGTGTCATAA